TAGCAACCAGTCTCACCTATGGCCTTCCCCTCCCACCCCCGGCCCTGTGGATACCGGCCGATCCCGCCCGCCCAGGCCCGAGAGCTAGGGTTAGCCTGGAGGGGGGACTGTCTCTTCCCACCTCCTTCTGTCCTCCCCACCACTCCAGGTCCCTCTGAAAACAGGGCACCACCATGCTTTATAGTCGACTTTTTATTAAGATTATAAATTTAAACAAATAATCTGAACAGTTTTACCCGGTGATATACAAGTCAGTATGCACAAAATACAGGAGAATGGGAGAAGGGCCGAGAGAGGAAGGGTTGGCGACTTGTTTTGGAGTCCACACGGTGCTGATGGCAGGGGGGCAGAGGGGCTGCCCACGAACCCCACCTTTTCACAACAAAAGGCTTTTAAATTAAACAAAATATCGAGCTGAAGACACAGGACGGGGTTCTCACAGCCACGAACAATGCTGGTTTCATGAAATGCAACCGAAAGCTGAGCCAGGACAGCGCAACTCAGCACACGCACGAACACCACGGCTGACCAGGAACTTAGTGAAAAGTCTCCAACGCAGTCGGCGGTCCCGGCCCCTCCCTCCCCCGGGGCCGCCGGGGATCCAGGTGAAGGAATCGACTTCCTTTTTTGTTTCGTGAGGACCGCAGTGCGGGGCATGATGGGAAATGTAGTCCGCGGTGCCCGCCCCCCACCCCTTCCCCAAACAGTGTCCGAGAGTGTCGGGGTGTCGGGCGCCACCCCTGAGTCCGGAGACGGGTGGAGGAGGGGTGGAGAACGGAGCCAGTGGGGCGGGGAGAGGAGGGGTTCAAGACACCCGCCCCGGGAAGAAAAGGAAAAAAAAGTTGAAGTGTTTTCATTTCTGCCTTCTCATTTTGAGAACTTAGGAGGCCGCCCCCAGAGGAAATGTGACCCAAACGTCCCTTTCTTAGATAGAGTTTGCGCTCGGGCGCCCGGCCTCGCCCCCGGCTGCCCGGCACCTCCTCCGGGCAGCAGCCCTTCCTCACGTGGCAGGCTCCTCGCTAAACACCACTGCAATCACCACAATAAAAAGGAAAAAAGAGTAGGAGAAACACAAAGCATACTTAAATAGGCGCTTTTTCTCTCTGCAAAAATAAAGTCCAAGATTTTAGATTTCTTTTTTTATTTTACAATTTATAAAACATCAGCCGCCTCCCCCTGCTTGCCCCCAGCTCAGCCCCGAATGGCCGGGAGCCCGCTCGTTCCTTCCTCTCGCCCCTTGGCCGAGTCTTTGTCTGGCCCCAGCCCCGCGGGGCCCTGGGTCCCCGTACCCTCGGGGGTCCCTAGAAGGCGACAATGGCTCGAGTCCAGGCGCCGAGGCTGGCGAGCGCCTGCTTGGCGCACAGCTGCCCGTTGAGCGGCGGCGGCTGCTCGGAGGAGTCCGGCTGTCGGCTCACCAGCCCCGGAAAGCCCGAGCCAAAGATGGAGATCAAGTTTGAGATGTTGGACGCGTCCGGGGACGAGTCTGGGCAGAAGTCCTCGAAGCGAGCGCGCTTGCAGGGGGCGAACGGGGCGCCCCCCGGGGGCTCTGCCCCCAGGTCGCCCGCGTCCTCCTCCTCCTCGTCGTCGTCCTCTTGGCCAGGGTAGTACTTGCGCTTGCAGCCGACAGTGGACGCCAGGCCGGGTCCCGGAGCGCCCTGGCCACAGCAGGGGCAGTGGGCGGAGGCGCAGCAGTCCTGGTGCAAGTAGCCGTTCTCCACCGTGGTCACCACGTGAGTGTCCAGGTCCAGCACGGTGGTCTGGCTGCTGCAATGCACGCCGAAGTCCGAGGGGGCCGAGTACGCGCCCCGGTAGAAGCCAGGAGAGGAGGCGGGGGCCGGGGAGGCGGGCGGGGAGGC